AACCCTTCTCCCCCTCAGAGGCAGGGGGACTCGAATCAGGGGTCTCTCACATCCCAGGTGAGTATCCTAACCACTGGGCTAAAAGTTTAGAGGGAGGTCGCACCTGCCCCATCCACCAGCTTCTTGCAGAGGTGCCTAACTCCAAAGAGAAGTTCCTGGTTGAGAATTGCAAGCAAAGCTAGGCCTGTGTGACACTCTGTACTTCAAAACAGGAGGTTTCCAGTGTGCTATTTACTACTGTCATATAATTATGTTTTGTACAAAGTAGGCCTTCTGAGGTATCATTTTAAATGTCTTAATCTGTTGAACATTGATATCCTGTTAGATTGTATGTGCTATCATTGTGTGTGAAGTTATGAAGTTTTGCTATGTGTGTGTTACTGAAATATATTGTGAGGTTGGGAACACCCACAACAAGCCTTTAAGATACGACAGCGGAGTAGCCAGACACGCTGACGGCCCATTAAAGGGAATCCACTCTTCCAACAGCCGTATCAGAAGACTTCTCAGAGAGAACACGTAGACAATAGAGACTGCTTGACCAATGGGGACTGCCTGATCCCCAGGTCAAAAGATCTTTCCAGCAAGCTGGAAGAAGCTATAAAAGAGGGGAAGTGACATGATCACTTGGCCTCTCCCCGCTCCCAATTAAACACCAGGAAATAAGTCTGGACTTGGAGGGCAAAGACTTTGAACTGGGGGAGGTGGTCCCAAGCCAGGAAAGAGTTCAAGCCCGTGTATTGAAGATCTGTGACCTGTTTGTACCATCTGTCAGGGTGAGACACTGCTTGATTCAAATCCTATTTAGTTTGTAGAATTCAGACTGCGAATTTATTTTTATTTCTTAGGTAACCAACTTTGGTCTCTACGCTTGCTATTTATAATCACTTAAAATCTATCTTTCTGTAGTTAATAAATCTGTTTTATATTTTACCGAAAACACTGTGTTTTGGTTGAAGTGCTTGGGAAATCTCGGCTCAGTTTACAAAGTCTAGTGTATGTCCTCGTCATATCAAGGGAGAGGCGGACTGGGTAATGAATTTGCAATGATCAGAAGCCTGCCCAGTGTAAGACAGTACAGTTCTGGGGTGCAAGGCTGGAGAGCTGGGGGGAATTGGCTGGAGCCTCCCTATTGATGGTTCACGAGTGCCTGGGAGATCCTTCACGTAACTCAGTTGGATGTGTCCCTGCTTGTGGATGTCTGTGTAAGTGCTGTACCTGCCAGAGGTTTGTGGCTTGACACAGCATCACAGTGTGAGAGGGATACCCCAGGTTGGTGGGGTAGAGGGCTCAGTGGTCCCAAGATCCAGTTTGCATTCCGGGGATCCCATCACAGCACCTCCCTGCAATCTTAACTTAGGTGCCGATCTCTGTGAGGGGGTGGGACTTAGCACCCCCCCCCCACTGGTCAGCATTTCCCATTGGCTAGTTTGGGCAGCTCCCCACCTCAAATTCTGACTTTTGTGAATCGCTTTTTAACACTTTGTCTATCCTGGAAAAAAAACAAAACAAAAAACAAAACCCATGGCACCAAGTCTCAGAGCCCAGTTCAACTGACTTGAGCTCACCCTGTGGCACTAAAAATAGCAGTGTGGCTATTCCTGCTTGGGCTGAAGCCTGGGCTCTGAGACCCACCTCCTTCACTGGGTACCAGAGCCTGGGCTCCAGCCTAAGCAGGAATGCCTACACTACGATTTTTGGTGCCACAGCCTGAGGCCAACTCTGAGATTTGCTGCCGCAGGGCTTTGTTTTTTCCAGTGTAGACATACCCTCATGTGAATCTCTCTCCATGTTCATTGTCTAGGGCAGTGGTTCTCAACCAGGGGTCTGGGGTCCCCTGCAGGGCCACAAGAAGGTTTCAGGGGTCCACTAACCAGGGCCAGTGTAAGACTCGCTGGAGCCCAGGGCAGAAAGCCGAAGCCCCACCTTATGGGGCTGAAGCCTGAGACCCTGAGCCCTGCCACCCGGGGCTGAAGATGAAGCCTGAGCAGCTTAGCTTCGCAGGGCCCCCCGTGGTGTACGGCCCCATGCAATTGCCCTGCTTGCTACGCCCTAATGCTGGATCTGGTTTTTATATGGAGAAAACTAGTTGTTGTGGCACTTGTGGGCCGTGGAGTTCTTATAGCATGTTGAGGGTGGGGGGCCTCAGAAAGAAAAAGGTTGAGAACCCCTGGTCTAGGGAACTCAGGTGCTGGACTGAAGCTTTGTGAACTGCAGTGTATTCTTGTGAATTTGTAGGCACCTAAAAGTTAGGTGCCATGACGCTCAGTGTCACAATGCCTAACTCCTTCTGTGCATGCAGGTCCCAGAAACTTTAATAGGGCCAGGATTTCTCCAACAGTATCCCTCTCAAATCTCGCTTCAACATTACATCGCTCAGTCACCAAGTCTTTACTCAGTCAAAACTCCTCTTGAAATCAAAGAGCCAGATTCTTATCTGTTACAATACTGTAAATCCACAGTAACTTTCATATTACTGGGGCTTTTGACTCAGGAAGGACTTCAAACCTAAGCTCATATGGCCTGATCCTGCCAAGTGCTGAGCAACTGTTAAGGATGCTCTGCACCTCAAGGAATTGCTCAGGACCTTGCAGGATCAAACCCATTGGTCTGATTAATGCAAAATCTAGGGCAACCTTGGGAGACTCTGAGCACTTTCAACTCTGATTGAAGTCAATGGGAGCTGAGAGTTCTCAGTACTGTGCAGAATTGGGCTCCCCAGTGTACAGAAGACTGAGTATAAGATATCCAGCTAGGGAACGTTTGGTACAGGTCTTAAGTAGTCTCAGTGAATAACTTTCTAAAAACATGAAGAGAATCTTTGGAAATAAAAAGTACCCTTTAAAAAAAAAGGGGGCGGGGAATAAATTATAGCTAAAGCAAGATGCAGCCAAAAAACAACAAACAACAACACCTGCTAGTTTAGAATAGTCTGAAAACTCTAAAAATGCTTTTAAATGCATGATTATTCTGTGCAGGAACTAAACCTCCCAGTAATATAACTTTAAAAAAAAAGAAAGGATGATTGCACACATACTATTATATTGTTACGGTGTCTCCCCAATTTCACCCCAGCTCAATTCTTTCTCTCATCCACATATTATATCTTGTCTTTTCACTTGTAAGCTCTCTGTCATTCATTATATTTTTGTATTGGGCCTACCACAATGGGACCCAACCTAGCTGAAGCCTTTGGGTGCTACAGAAATAACCTGGCAATAGCGGGTTGTTAAAATGATATTTTGTTATCTGAAGTGTTGCAGTAGCTATATTGTGAATGGACTTGCAATAAGAAAGTATGTTTGCAATGTTGTTGTAGCTGTGTTGGTCTCTCTCAGATCCTGGGACAAGGTAGGGGAGGGAATACTTTTTATTGGACCATCTGCTGTTGGTGGAAGGGACAAGCTTTCGTGCTTCATGACCTGAAGAAGAGCTCTGTAAAGCTCGGAAACTTGTCCCTTCCAACCCCAAAAGCTGGCCCAGTAAAATATATTACATGTAATCATTTGCAACAGTTGCCACAGAGATGATATGCGCCCGGGGAAGGGAGGTGGTTCTTCCCATAACAAATAGGTGGGGCAAGTTCTCCACGAGAGACTCAATTTACTAAAATGTGGTCCACACAGGAAAAAGCCTGGGAAGCTATAATAAATAGTAATAACTATTTTTAAACATATGGTTGCGTCTATGTAATGATAGCAACAGCAGCATGGCTAATTCTTTTGACTGAAGGCAACTGTAGCTTTGACTGGCATATGATGGAATTCAATATGGGCATATCCAACACCGAAAGCCTTCAAATGTCTCAGAAGTCCTCTGTCGTCTACGCATTTGGAAAGTAAAACAAAATAACGTTATGAACTGGGTTAAAAAAACTGCAACTTTACAAAAGAATGCTATGTTTATTTTCAAATGCTGTAAAAAGCCTCATATAAATCTTTTATAATGCTTCTATGTAACTTTCCCCACCACAACTAATGCAACAGTCCAGGAAAAAAAAATATAGCAGTTGCCATTTAGACTCTGAGAATGAGCTTTTGTAATATGAACAACATTAAAAGGACAAGGTACAGTATGTTACAATGCTTGTAATTATCCCACACTGTATGCAATGACTTAGGTTTTTAATAATTGACCTATAAAAATAAAATTTACCTAACTCGTCAGCAAGGCAAATTAACAGTGCAAATGCAGTCTCAACAATATTCAATTCTGAATGCTGGCAACATTACTTTGTATTTTTAACCCCTTCTCACACACACAAAATAATCCCCCTGACCATCATTTACTGCCTGTACCTTGGTTCATTAACCCATGCTGATTCGAGATGGACCTAAGTCCAAAAATTCAGCTGTATTTCAATCCAAACTTCCTCCTCAATTTGTGGGTAGTCAGATACAGGATTTTGGTTCAGGCTCATCTCTATGCAACTGATGATTTAGCAGTTTCTCCTGCTGGAATAGGTTAACTTCCCAGAAAAATTTTTTTATGAATTATATACCCCATTCCACATTTAACAGAAGTTAACAAATCATAGGCATGGAAATCAAAACTTCACATGGTTGTAATCATCAAGCCATTTCAGGATCTTTGGTACTCTGAGAATAAGAAAGAAAATGGCACAATGACAAACACTGTCAAAAGAAAAAATTAACAAGCAAAAAGATATGTTGCACTTCCTTGTTTTTGGAAAGCCAATGTAGATAAACCTTCTGTTGTCTTTAGATCATTACAGTGTCACAGTTTTGCCTTTAAAAAGAATTCCCACTACCGTTCTAAAAGCAGTACTCTAATATTTTCTTTAATTTGACTTGCTGATTAGATTATTTTATGAAAAAATGGCATTATTTTAAAGAAATTCAACTATCACGATAAGGGAGATTATTATGCTAAATATACTGCAGTAAGTCTCCCTAACAGTGTAACTCCTATGTGAGCATTCATTTGATTAACCATCGGCAGTTTTATATGCAAATTATTTTTAGTGTTATGACTAGATTTTCCCCTGGTGATAAACCAATCAATATGTACAGACAAGTCAGTGTAGTAGGTAGCTTTAAGTTAAATGTATATACTTCTCCTCTCCCCCCACACACAAACCACCAGTTTTTCTGAGTGTTTGCTATTTCCATGAAATCTTCTTAATAAATTACCTTCATGTATCTTGCAAAGTTCAATCACATAGGGCACATTTTTGATAAAGAATGGCTACTTACTCTATATTAACTGTGGTTCTTCAAGATGTGTGGCTCACATGGATTCCACTTCTGGGGTGCATGCACCTAATAAGTGTGAGATTAGATTCTTTTGAAGAGCAGCGTCTGTTGAGGCCCCATCTGCGTCCTGGATGTTCTGAGGGCATAAGGGCCAGAGCAGGCCCAAACATCCCTCAGGGAAGGTGGTCAGGCTGTAGAACACATCTCAAAGAACCACAGGTACTGTAAGGCAAGTAACCTTGTTTACGTAATTGTCCACATATGTGCCACTTCTGGTGCCTCACAAGCAGTGACCTCACTGTCCAGAGGTCTACTTGCAGTCTGTTTAAACAATGGTTGCAGGACAGCTCTGCCAAAGTGGACATCAGATCTGGAGCTCTCTACTAAGGATTAGTACTGAATGAAAATGGTAGCTGCCCTACATAGCTCAAAAAAAGGGAATGCCACTTAGAGGAGCTGCAGATGCTGCTGGGGCATGATGGAATGGGCCCTGATCTGCAGAGGTGGAGCTACAGAAGTTGATTAATAAGGTTAAGTATAGGGTGGAACCTGTCCTCTAGTTGGTATGCTCTCACTGCTGAGCAAGAGGAGGAGTATCTTTCTTCCATAGGTGGAGCTACCCTTTCAGGTGTTCTCGGGATTTCTGAAATATCTGTACCAAGGCGAGGGGCTTCTTCGAGGAAAAGAGCAATGTTGTCTCTGGTTGTTTGATGACTGTTAAATTACTCTGTGCATGGGTGCATGTACACCAGGAGAGGAATCCATGTGGACAATCACTCGAAGGAGACCTTTACAAATATGGTTGATGGTTTTTATACCGTATATCTAAAACCCACCAGGTCAGCAGTAAAATAATGGTGCTGCAACATTAGCCCATGTTGCTTTTTAAAATGATATGTTTTTCTCCTGGGTGGATTAGATGGCTTACAGTACAAACAAAGCCACAGTACACAGAGGCATAATTAACCTTTATACACACATAGGCAGTGCAGTTGCAAAGGGATGTATGACCCTTTTATTCCAGTACCTTTGTATAATAAAGTTAACAAAAATATTCAAATATTAAAAAAAAAAAAAAAAAAAAAAAAAAAAGCCAGCTGGCACTGCCAACTAATTTCTGTAGTAGTCTTAGAAATCCTAATCCTGTAGAATTTCCTTGTGAAGTCGATGCGCACCAGAGTCACTGTATTGATATCTACGCCAAGCAGGCCTGGTGATGCAGCTACCTGAGGTTTGTTTTTTGTTTTGTTTTGTTTTGAATTTTATGGGGTTTTGTTTTGTTTCACAACTTCCCAGCTTTCATGTAGGAAGGGATAGAGCCACGCTGTGTAAGCCCTTCAAACCTCTTGTAGGTATAATTGAGGAAAACCCAGTCTTTGGATTTGTAGTCAGGTTCTGTGGTATTTGGCACTGGAATGTAGAAGTCAAAAAGAAAGAATTAAAAAAAAAATTAGTATTGCTGGTAAGAGAAGTCACCACACAATGTCAGGCAAACAATCCTGAAGTTGGTTCTTTCTAGCATTATAAAGACTGCAGGTGAAATCCTGGTCCTAGCAAAGTCAATGGAAGTTTTGCCATTAACTTCAAAAGGGCCAGGATATCACCCGGCATCTTTGAGGAAGGAACGGCCTTTATATTGCCTGCCACAGTAAGATCCTGATCCCCAACTGTCACCACAATTAAAAAAACAACTTTTAGGAACTGACACACACATACACACACACACACACACACACACACACACACACACACACACACACACACACACACAACAACAACACACACACGGTATCCCACCAAAAACAGTAGCAAAAAATCAGACCTTTCCCAACAGGACTGTACCACTCTATACTTATACTCTTTTTGAATTTCTTCACTAATTAGTGCTTTTGTGACATTTGTAGAGCATTTAGGAGAACTAACATTTTACTTTATGAACATCTAATATTATTCCAGTGCTGAACACAGAACTGTTCTTGTAAAATAATTATTCAGATTAATGTTCCTATAGTTCTAAGCCAAAATGTTCAGACTTGGTGCTGAAAGTTAAGTTCTCAAGTTCATATTTAGGCATCTAAAGAATAAGCAACATTTTCTGTGATACTGTGTATCATAAATGCCTATTAAAGTCAATGGGAGTAATAGAGCCTCAGAATTTATGAAAAGAAATCCATGTAATTTAATTAGCTCCCTAAATATAGAGTTAGGTACCTAACTTCAGGCATCCAGGTTTGAAAATTCTGGAATTAAAGAGGAAAACCAACTTGCCATTCTATAGGAGCCATTTCAGAGTTACAGAAAAAAAACAATTAAGATTTTGGGTGAGTGGGATGAGCTAGAAGAATAGTAAAGACTGTTTGACGCCAACATACTTAAGCATGCGTCTCACTCAACACACATAAATAGTATCATTGAAGCCAGTGGGAGCTGAGGGAACCCATCACCTTGCAGATTCAGGCCTTATACATTTAAGTATCTCCCGCTAAATGCTGAATTGGCACTTTTGAAAAAGTGCCTATATGACTTAAGTGACTTAGGAGCCTAATTCTCATTGTAAGTGTTTAACCTTAGTACTGCTGCTTGTCAATCATTTAGATGCTTTTGAAATTTTGCCCACAAAGAATATAACATTTGCATCTGGCTTAAATTTCAATGTTACCAAACATCTGAAACCAATTAGTGCAATACATTTTACCAAAAATGTGGCAATATTGTCTATATGGTGAAATCCTGTAACTGCTTACCATTAAGGCAACACACACACACACACACCTCTCACCCTTTTCCTCCTAGATTAAATCAATATTAAAAGCTATATTTTCACACACCCCGAGAAAGAGGATTAAGGAAGGGGTAGCTCACAGATTTTTTTTTTATTTATTTAAATGCAATTCACTAACAAAGTTCCCAGATAATCCAAATACAGTGCAGGTTTGAAGTAGCTGGATCAAGCTCCTGGAAAAATGAATATAATGGAAATAAAATGTATGGTTATATTTTGGGATGTGTTAGATAAGACTGCAATTTACAAGGTCTCACCTGGCTGTAAAATATCAGATTCAGGAAATTCATCGAAATTGGAAGTGTCATCAATACTTTTGATTTCTATAGGGATTGCAGCTGGCCTCTCCCTACACACACAAAAAAGAACTGAATAGTCAGAAAAGCTTCATTACTTTTAATTTTGCTACAGGATGACAATATCCCCCTTGTAAACACGAAGGGCAAGATTCTCAGCTGGTGTACAATGTTATACCTCCACTGACTTCAACTGAGCTAAGTGAGCTGCAGGATTGGGTGGGGTGACCATCAAGGAGAAATATGGGCTTTTACACATAAAGGTACAATATTTATAAAACACAGGTTTACCCTGCATCCTTAAAGGATGGTAGCAGCAGCAGCAGTCTCTACTGGCCACATTTTGAGTGCCACTGAAGTCAGTTTTAAAAGAGATGCCCTTGTGTTTCACTCATAGTTGCAGCCTTTTCTCCTTTTCATTCTCTTTCTCTTTGTGATTTCGGTGTATGATTTTTTTGTTTGCTATTTTTATTTGCTGGATTTTTTTCATTTTCTTTTTCCCCCCTCCTCAAATGACCTGGTCAGAAGGCTACATGCGGGTGACCACTGACTGCTCTCTGGGGATGGGCCACGTGTATTTTCAAAGCCATGAGCTATACTGTCAGCCTGTTACAGTATGGGTAGCTGTGGGAGCAGGGGGAGAGGTAGCTGGCTTCTAAGGTCTGGCCCACTGCAGCCATGGGAGCAAACATGCTGGGGGTAGGTGAGTGCAAATCAGGAATCACTCTGATTTCCCTGCCACCACTGCTTTCTGTCCTGCATCACTGCAAACTAGTCTGGATTCTCTCTAGTTTGGGGAATGCTGCATAAAAAACGGATCAGCTCTATGCATGTCAGTTCCCTCCTCTGAGAACAAGGCTGGAATTGCTTGTTTTTCCAATACAGTAACTCCTCACTTAACGTTGTCCCAGTTAACGTTGTTACATTGCTGATCAATTAGGGAACAAGCTTGTTTAAAGTTGTGTAATGCTCCCTTATAACGTTGTTTGGCAGTTGCCTGCTTTGTCCACTGCTTGCAGGATTCTCTGGAAGAGCAGGCCCTCCTCGTGGGGATTAGAACCAGGGGGAGCCGGCAGCCCCCCCCCAATCAACTCCCCTAAATTCCCCATAAGGTATGTGGCTCAGCATCTGCCCAGCAGCAGTTCAGATGGCCTTCCCCCCACTGCCGTGCTGCTCCTGACCTGCCCTCTGCCTTGGAGCTGCTCCTGGGAGCTTCCTGCTTGCTTGGGGAGAGGGAGAGAGGAGAGGGGTGCTGATGTCAGGATGTCCCCCTGTTCCTGCCCCGCCCCTCCACAAAGTGGAGGAGGGGACAGTCACAGGGCTCGGGGACAGAAGGGGGCGGGGAGAGTTTGCAGGAAGCTGTTGCTTCGTGTCTGAACTGGCTGAACAGCTTAAAAGGGCAACATACTTGAAGTGGCGTCAGCGTACTTAAAGGGGCAATGCACATCTCTCTCTCTCTCTCTCTCATGCACGCACCCCCCAGCACTTTGGAAAGTCAGCACCTGTGCAGCCATGCATGTGCTGTCAGGAGGAGGGAGTGGTGCGCTCCAGCTGGATAGCGTGGGTTCATCATCATGTTCAGTTTTTGCAGGGAAGTGTTTGCAGCTACTGCCCTGCATCTATTGTGTTTCCTCCCTCCTGCCCTCAGTCCATGCTGCCTCGTAGAGTGTGAGGCTACATTAACAACAGCCTATTAACCCTTGAGGGCTCAGCTGAGTGCTTGTTCATCATTTAGCAGAAAGGCATTCCCTGGGAAATATCCCACCCTCTTACTCCACCACCTCAACCAAGCTTCACAATCATTCATTGCTGTGTACAATATTAAACTGTTTGTTTAAAATTATTTAAAACTTATACTGTATATGTATATAATGTCTTGTCTGGCAAAAAAAAATTCCCTGGAACCTAACCCCCCCATTTACATTAATTCTTATGGGGAAATGGGATTTGCTTAACATCATTTCGCATAAAATCGCATTTTTCAGGAACATAACTACAACGTTAAGTGAGGAGTTACTGTAGTTACACTTTAAAATAAAAAGCTAATTAAGATAAGTTATTCCTGCCTTTGCAGCATATGAAATTATTGCTACCAAGATTTCCATCCAATATACAAAGCACATCTATATACCTGATATGTCCCCAGTCAACTTCTTCAAAAAATGGATGATCCTTTATTTCCTCTACTCCATTACTACCAATTCTATTTTCCGAATCAATACAAAATCTGAAGGGGGGGAAGAAAGAATGTTACAATCAATGCAGAAACGAGCATATAAAATAAATCATTGTACAGTCCTGTAGCAGAAATTTTATAAAATCTATGAAATTGTTTTATCTTTGGATTGTTCAGCATCCCATTACACCTAGAAAAATCACAGAAATAAAATGTTGTCAGTCATATTATAAAAGGCACAATGCTACAATGGTAATATATCATATTTCCCTTTCAGCTCCAGGCTTTTGTGAACAAGTTGCTGCCAGAGCTGGTTATTATTCCAAACCAGTAACAGGAAGACATTTCGTTTCTTGGAATTTCCAGTTTCTCCACATGGTCTGGCCCAAGAGAGATATCTTGATTTTAAAGCATCCATTTCTGCTAAGTACTCTCTCTTTTTAACCAACCTCCAAAACCTTCTTATCCTCCCACATTAAACAGCAGCACGTTCCACCAGACAAGTCAGTGCTGTGCTGTGATTCAGCCTTCTGGAACTGGTAGTTTAGCCACCAGACAATTGGAGAAGCAAGTGCCTTGTCAAGCATCCATAATGGAGAAAACAACAAGGCCCTTTCAAACAAAGAGCCCGGTCCTTTTAGGTGCTGAGCCACCGATTGATCTAATGGGAGTTGAGTCCACTCAGCAATTTGCAGATTGGGCCTTCAGTTTGCTGCATGACAGTGTGCTGCCCTCCCATAAACTCCTTTGCTGACGGACATGCTGCTTTTGTATAAACTAATGTTGCTTCTGAAAGTTGATTTGTTTAACTAGATTCCACTTCTGCTTTCAAGTAGTCATCTGTTCCGCACTGAAAGCGGTAGACAATTTGTGCTCAGCAGCAACTGTTGTCCAGCAGATGGAAGATTCTCTCCATTATTTCAGGCAACAGAGTGACAAGAGTGTATGTTTGGCAGTGGCTAACATACTCAAAGCAATTCATTTATAAGAATCAATATGGGTAACTGGCTATACCTAAATGATCACAACATCCAGATTCATAAAACATTTTACCTGCCAAACCTTCATAGAAACAAAACCTCCTTCTTGCCAGCACAAAGCAAGTTCTGACAGGCATTTCAGTAATGTGACAAGTCATTCAGGTTATAAAGTGACTAAGCTATACTCCCACAAGAGTAATATTCTTATCTTACATCTGAATGGCACTTGTTGAGATGTGAAATTATTTCCTAACTTTGAAAATATCAAAGTACCCTTCCACCAAAAAATAAAAAGCCAAAGAAAAATTATTTCTAAACTAATCCTTGAAATCAAATCCCTACAGGTCAATCAATATTAGGTAAGGAATAACCACCATCACCAAGAAATGGCTTTTGGAAAATGTGATTTTATCCATACAGCCCAACAATCTCTATATTGGGGTTTTCAGGACAAATTACTTAGTGACCTCTGAGTGCGGCCACCAACTCTTGCTGGTGGCCACTCTCACACTTTTTCCTAAAATACTTTAATTAGCTTTAGGAAAAACAAATAAATATGCACATATACACATCCAAATTATTGTAATTTATTTATTGCTAGCTAGTAAGTCAGTTGTGAAAAGTGATATTAACAAACATACAAGTATCATTTACTCAGCCCCAGCAAATGTGGGGGCAAATTAAGCCCTGGATGGGGGAGGAGGGGGTCAGGGAAAGCAGGGGGGGCCATGGGCAACTGGAATGAGTGTGGCTGGGTGAGGCAGCTGGGGGCCGGAGCCTGACACTGAGGGGAGGGGGCCTGGGAACAGCCCAAAGCTGCGAGGACAGAGCCTAGGGTCCGCCACCATGCATCCAGAGCTCAGGGCTGGAGCCCGAAGCCCCACGGCCAGAAGGTGGGGAACTCACCAAGTGACTGCTCCTCCAGCGTTGTGCCCCAGGTGCCTCCAGAGGGGGACAGGATCCAACTCCTGCTGGAGGCCCCAGCAACCAACACTAAGGCAGTGCATCCAGGAGCAATGGGGAGTGGAGGGAAGGAGGCACTGCTTTGCCCCTCTTATTCCCCATCACAGCCCAGAAGGCTGTGGTTGCAAGAAAAGCCCATGGTGGCCACATGCAACCACAGTGGCTGCATTTGAGAAGCGCTGATTAAGTCAAACTCCATTATATCTGCTGCGTTGTTTTGTTGGCTCTGAATTGATGTGCTTTACGTGCTGGATGCTGTTCAGTTTTTCCAGTTCCCCAATGGATAACTGAAAATTTGATTTTTAAAACATTCTTTTTCCTTCAGATCTGTTCTGTCTCTATTGCTGGAGACAGACACACCAAGAGATCTGCAGTTGCATTATTCCGATTCCCTCACGCAAAGCATTCAGATGAGAATTTGGAACAAATTTTTGTGAGGTGCAACTGAAAAACTGAAATATTTACCAAGAATGGATGAAGTGGATAGGAGAAAGGGCAAAGTGGGAGAGGTACCTGGCTGGGGTCCTTCAACTTCTCTTTCAACCTAAAACTTTCTCTGTGTTTAAAATTAAAAGATGCTTTGATTTTCCACTTGATTGAATAATTTCTCCCAGATAACTGTGGACCATTATTAATAATTTTTATGGTGCTTGTCACAAAAGACTGCTTCTAAAGTTATATCTTTTGAAAAGTAGCTGTAATAAAGACTAATGCAGCCTATGCAGTCCATGCATCTAATGCTTTACAAGACCAAGTATTACACAGAAAATCTATTATCACTGTTCTTTTCCTGCATCTTCATGATCCTCCCTTTATTCCTCCCCTCTCCCCATCTCTTATATTCTTTCAGGGCCCAGTCATGCAGTCCTAATACAGACAAAACTTCCATTGAATGGGGGTTCTGTCAGCCTCAGCACAGCAGGATCAGGTCTTTAATACATATAAATTATTGTAATTCAGGACTTCCCTCCTTAGGGTCTACTCTTGCTCCCATCAACTTCAGTGGAAGCTTTTCATTAACTTCAGCGGTAGCAGAATCTGGCCCAGCGAGCTGAACTTTCCATCCCTGTAAGCCTGGCCTCCGGAAATGGTTATATGGGGAGAAGGAGATGAGTTCAGCACCTTTCCACCCTGCAGAAATGAGTTTCTCCACACACTGGAAAATGAACGTAATGGAAGAGGATCATGTCTATGGGTCTGAATGGCCACAAAAGTTTTAGTTACTAACCTTAGAATTAAGTCCTTTGCTTTCTCTGAAATGGGCACCTCTGGAGGAAATACCAACGTTTCTTTCCAGTTCATAACTTTCCTATACGTTTCTTGTGGCGTTTCAGAGCAGAAAGGTGGATACCCTATATAAATGGAAAAAAGCTTAATGAGCTTTTCCAACATTAGAAAAAAGTGTACCTAGGCCCAGTCTGACATAAAACAAAGCCACTTTGCTACCTCTCCCTCAAAAATTTCTGCATGGCAACGTCAACTAAAAAAATTCTCTCCTTGAAAACTACAAAATACCTTTGGAATTGTAAAATTAAAGGTTAAGGGGACTGAATCTGTAACAATTTTTAACAGTGAGGGTGATCAACCACTGGACCAAACTACTAAGGAAAGTGGTGCATTCTCCATCTCCTAATGTCTTCAAATTAAGAGTGGATGCCCTTCTGGAAGATCTACTTAGTTGAGGACAAACTGTTGGGCTCAGTAAAAAAAGTTACTAGATGAAATTCTATGCCCTGTGTTATACAGCAGGTCAGACTCAGTCATCTAATGGTCCCTTCTGACCCTAAAATCTATCTTGGGGTTGGTAATGATAACATACCTATTAGCATTTCATACATAATCACTCCCAAAGACCACCAGTCACACAACTTGTTGTACCCAGTCTGCATGAATACTTCTGGAGCAATATAATCTGGGGTCCCAACAGTAGAGTATGCCTGGGGAAAAAAAATAAAAAGAAGTAGGGGTTGGGTGGGCTCTTTATATGGATTATACGCTCACCATTTTAAAGTTCTGTGGGAAAAAAACCAAAAACTTACTGGAATTAATAGACAGAGTACTGATATTTAGTGGGAAAAGGATAAGTAATTTGATAAGTCAGAATACATAAAACCCAAGAGACTGTTCATTTAGATACACAAGCACAGAACCAAAAATAACTTTGAAATTAGACTGCCACCTCCCACCCCTAAGTGTGAAGAGACCATAGTACATACAGACTGAAATATCAATGATTTCTTAGATCACATTTCTTTATACATTTTAGCCTACCAATTAGTAATTAGTAAATTATGAAAGTAGTCGGAAAAAGTGTACATTCAACATCTGACTCTCCTGAAACACTAAAACTGTTCTGTATATGAGCGTATCTGCACTGCAGAATTAACTCAGGCTCTTATTTTGGTGTTTCCCCTAACGTGGCTTCCATTCACACACAAAAAAGTAAGATGTGCTTTGTACCTGGGCTCACTGGCCTATCCTGGGGTACAGGTTAAAGCTAGAGCTGGTCAGGAATTTCCTGACAGATGGAAATTTTGAACGTCCTCATCTCTACATAAAGCCCAAATGCTAATTACACTCAGGCTGGTAACCTGCCTACTTTGCAGTGAGGATGCAGGCTCACTCAACTGCTGATAGTTCTCCAATGCCTTTCCACAGATCCCTCTCCGTGCCCAGAAAGATAGACAAGTTCTCCTATAATTCACTAGGAAACAATCACAGAGCGTCTCATTTTACTGCAGTGCAAAGAACCATGGGATGAGACCTCAGAAGTCTAGTGCTTCACACAAGCGAGTGCAGTGCCAGTGTTGACTCAGTCTAGTGGACATACTCAAGTATGGCTTTACGGTTTGGCTGCTCACACCCGAACTAGACTCACCCAGGGGCTCACACCCAACTGCCAATCCCCCAAGTTAACCGTGCAGTGAAGACACAACCGATAAAATTATAAAACACACAAGTAAATAGGTGTTTTGAAAACCCAATGTTTCAGATTTTTTAAAGCAGCTCAACCTCTAAGATAAATTTTATCAAGTCAAGAAATGCCAAAGTTAAGGATCAGAAAGCAATGTTTGCTTGGCTGTACTGCACACATACAATGTTTATTATTTTTTCTATTTATAAATATTTATTAATATTTTCAAATAGAGCAAAGACATACTTGTGTTATTATTTTATGAGTTTAATATATGACATTTTGTGATTTACAAAGCATACAATCAATTATATGAACTCAGTTGTACAATGTGGTTGAGTTACCTTTGCTGTTGGACTGTTTTTGAATGTCCTCACTTAGGCACTGATCATGCAAACACTTGCTGTTAGCATTAATTCAGTGTATGATGATAGCACTTAGAAAACCCAACTGAGAGAGGGGCCCCACTGTGCAAGGTAATATACAAACATATGTAAGAGGCAATCCCTGCTCTGAAGAGTTTCCAGTCTAAATGACAAGACAAACGAAAGGTGGGAGGGGAAACAAAAGCACAAAGTAGTGAATTTGACTTGACAGCAGGTCCAGTGGCAGAGCCAGGAATAGGTGCTCAAAGTGGCAAATCTGTATAAGTTTCCATGGCTCCATGCTATGAACATTTATACCAACTGAAGGTCTGCCCTCAGGTCTTGTGACTGAATTTGGTGCCTTAACCACTAAACCACACTGCCTCTTGACTACAGTGGAACTACTCACACAACGTTAAGTACATTCATGTTTGGGTGATCTGGGCCTTTGAGATATTAAGGCAGCAACTTGAACATTAATGCAGATTTTTTAAATTTGTCTCATGTTTGTCTTTACAAAGAGGTATGTGCAGACAACTTTATTTCTACAAAATTTAACTAGGTTCCACTGTGAAGTGACTCACCAGCTGTCGTCTGTTCTTCTTCCACGTTTCTGCTTTTCTCTTTGAGTTCATATTCTGAAATGCTTATTTACAAAATAGAATTATTAGACATTAAAAGATTTGTGAAAGAGTACAAGAAAAAAAAATCAGCCTGATTGATAATATGTCGTTTTTACAAAATAATCTTTTTGTACCTTTAAAATGCTTTATTACAGATTTTTATTTTTTTGGTAGAACTGGAGAGGGAAAAGGGAGGTAATGTCAAACAATCCTAAACTGCCAGGATGGGGAATGTTTAAAGTGCAACAGCAACAATAATGATATTTGATACAAGGATCCAAGGATTTCTTAATGTTTTACAAACACTAACTGAAGCTCAACACCTTTATGATGGGCCTGGTAATGTATATACACTGATTACTCCTTCCACCAATAAAATACAGGCACCTCTGACCATGGCAGCCATTGCAGAGCAAAGCTGGAAGTCAAGAACCAGGAATCCGAATTAAACCACAGGGGGAATTTAGATCAGTAGCATGTAATTAGTTACCTACCATTGAAATGTGACCAGAGCAAATAGGATGACACCCTTACCATTATGAAAAAAGTTTCATGAGATCATTACTGATTTCAGCTAGAATGTCCTCATCAGCTAGAAGAATATTTCCAGCAGCACAGGGTCCTCTAACATTATGGGGAATGGGTTCAATTCAGACTCAGAGAAAAGTGCCACCTACACAATCACCGGGCTGGTCTACACTGCGGCGGGGGGGATCGATCCAAGATACGCAACTTCAGCTACGCGAATAGCATAGCTGAAGTCGAAGTATCTTGGATCGAATTACCTGGGGTCCAGACGGCGCGGGATCGATGGCCGCGGCTCCCCCGTCGACTGCGCTACCGCCGCTCGCTCTGGTGGAGTTCCGGAGTCGACGGTGAGCGCGTTCGGGGATCGATATATCGCGTCTTAACGAGACGCGATATATTGATCCTGGATAAATTGATTGCTACCCGCCGATACGGCGGGTAGTGAAGACGTACTCACCAACACCATCTCCTTCCTCTAATTCCTAGCTATTCTGTGTACTGTTCTCCCGTTCAAAAAAAACAACTCAACCCAACCCAACCCAGTCTTGTTTATTCTGTGAAACCTAACAGGCTTACAATTACAGTGTGGAATGGCTGCAGTCTAAAGCCGTTTAACACTTTAACTAGAACACCTTTATACTTACAAAAGTCACTTGGTGGATTGTGTGTAAGGTTCCTGTAGAATTCAGTTCGATGAGCTTTCTTTAAACCAGTGCATAGTCCAAAATCAGATAGCTTCACATGACCCTACAGAATCAGAGAAGATAAAAACATTGTGGGGAAAGTTGAGTGTTAGAGGGAGCAACACGTTTTAATAACATTACCTGCTCGCTTCAGAAATGCATGAACTGCAGATTTGTGCAGGATTATTTATCTAGAGGACATTATAGTGGCTGAATCTTTATACATCAAGAAAGAATGATTTGTAATGAATGAACTATGCTTAATTATTCCAAAGAATTTAGGAGTTTTGTTTGTTTATTTGATGCCTGGGGTTAGAGGGGAAAAGAATGGAAAAGTACAACAGTGTTTACTTATGAAGTCTCAATTAGAATGAAATATACTTAAACAATTTTGATAGTGTGTTTTAATCCAGTTTTATAGCTGGATTTAGAAAGATTTGAGGTGGTCAACTGACTCACTTAAGGTAACAGACTAGTTTAGTTTCCTGGCTCTCAAAATTTTGCTCTAACCAGTAAATCTCCCTTCTGATCAGTTAACAGAGAAAAAGCCAAATGAAATAATTGCATCAAAAGTTACAATGATCATTTAAAAGAAAAACTGAACATTTATGTAGAATTGTCAGTATATTTTGTACTTCATGCTTTTCTTAAAGTAACAGACTGCAACAACAATTAATGTATGTGAATGTGGTTTTAGCCCGAGGCTACAGTCTGCAAGTACATTGGACACTGTGGATGGGTCTTTTCTAGCATCTAAGAAGATCCCCATTGTTAACACTTTCAGTAAAGTAAAACAATTTAGTGCTACTTTTGCTATGCTAATTGTATAGATGTTCTACAAGATAAAATATGGGAGGCAGATTCTGACTTCATTCCCTCCAGTTTAAACACTAGTGTAATGCTAATGGCTTCAATGGAGTTATTTCTGATTAACACTAGTGTAAGGGAGATTGGCATCAGACAGTAGAAGTTTAAACTTAAATAGTTTACAAACAAGTTACATGCCTTGGCATCCAGCAAGAGGTTATCTGGTTTAATATCTCTATGGATGAATCCCAGCTGATGAATGGCATCTATAGCCAGCACAGTTTCAGAAATGTAAAATTGCGTTTCCTCTTCTGTTAAAGTGTCTTTCTTCATAAGTAAGGTCATCATATCACCTACCCACAGAGAAAAACACATTAGAAAGACCAGTGCATTTTAATTACCAAGGATAACTCTACTGGAAATAGCGGTAGATTCCATTAGAATCCTACAATTGGCTTCTGCATGTTTCAACTGCAAGGCCAATACTCCAAGGAACTGCTAGCCCAATAGACCCATTGTTACTCTGCTTCAAAGCCTGTTTGGCAAATTGGACCTAGCAGGAACCAGCTGAAAATTATTAACTGGATTTTTAAGTAGGGTACTCAGTGAAGTGGAGTCAGTTGAATTACGTATCTCCTAACATATACCACACAGTAATTGTTTTCAGTAATAGCCACTTTCACAGTTATTGGCATCAGTAGAGAACAGCAGAACATCTGATTACAGGAATTATTTAATCCAAAACCACAACTATTATTACAGATGTTTTAAAGGCTCAAAAAAAAAAAAAAAATGCAGGAATGTGGATATCACTGATACTGGAATTTAACATAGCATAAAAATCCCACTAGCATCAAGTATTTAAGATTGCTTTTGTCATCAACTACATAAAAAAAGGGAATAAATACTTTAATCACTGAGCCACTGAACTCATTGGTTTGCTTTTTACCTCCAGGTAGGAACTCCATGATCAGGTAAAGATTCCTTTTATCTTGAAAACTATAAAACATTTTCACCACCCAAGCACCATCCGCTTCGACCAATATATCTCTTTCTGCTCTGATATGGGCCACCTACATGCACAGATAATAAACAAATTGTCATTAATATCAAGGACAATTATTACTTTAATATTAAATTGTATTTCTAGTTACTGTACCAATCACTGTATTGTTCATGATCTCCGATGAAGAAACTGTTTATAATCCTGTGTCAGGGTGCTGGGCAACAGCAGCTGAGCCAACACTCTGGTCACTGTAACTAATTAATTACTCTAGAGTAGACCTCATTAAGAAGAGCTGTGCCTAACTGATGGGCTGAGGAGAACTAAGAGGCTAATTAGCCCATCAGGCAGATGATACAACAGGCACAGGAAGGAAGGAAGGGAGGGGAAGCAGAAAACGGGAGAGAGATCTCAAGATCTCCCCTGCTTCCAGAGCTGAGGGCTCCCTAGGACAGTAAGCATAAGGCTGTACAGCATATAAGAGTGGTGGAAACACTGTGGTAAATAAACTGCATGGAGTGTTTTACCAGTAAAAGGTCTCCGAGCAGTTTGTGGGCTTGAACAGAGGCAGGAACAAGCCGGCCCTGGTACACATCTCCACACAGAATCCCTGTGAAGCCAACTGTGGGAGAATAACTCTGCCTCCAAAAAATCATAACTGCTGTGTAAACTCCTGATTTAAGAGACCATCTCAAAACATTCCCAAATGTAGAGTGCTGTTTGTAAAGGGTGTTTCTATTTGATGCATAATATTCAGTAGTTGAACAGAGCTTGTGGAAAAATGGAATTTCTTTGGATGTTTCATTGAAACTGGCTATTGGATTTTTTTATTTCAAGAAAGCCTTTTTTTTAACATATTAAAGTATAAAACCATGTCAAGGTCGGGTCTGTAATGTAACTTTCCCAATTGTGAATTCATAGATATCTACAAATGTCTGGAATGTAATTTGAAAGTCAATGTGAAAGCCCGGTACAAGTATTAGGTAAAGTGTAGGATCTTGTCTTAAATCATGAAACAGAGGTAAAGTGATGGGTGGAGTATTATTATTGACAATAATTATCAGACCTCTCATTTATGTATCCCAAGTGAGCTGATAACTGGTTTGTATAATAGGTTCCTTATAGCATGGCTGAGGATGAATCATCTCTAATAAGAATGGGTTGGTTGCTAAATTAACCATATCTGTAGAAATGAGAGATACATTGGTACTGCCAATTTCAGCAGTTTTTACTTCAGAGCCTGTTTGTCTGGCAGAAGATATAGGTAAAATACACGTGCCTGAGCTGCAGTGAAATATCCCAAATGATATTCCGTTGGTTGAATACAACTTACTAGCAAAACTTTTGAAAAATATTAATCAACTGTTCACAAAATGCACTGAGAAATATCCTAGGCTTTGGAACTCTTATCTGGAAACAGTCTACAGAGTAGTACAGGTGGAAAAGGAACTTGACGTACTATTTTTGTCTGCAGCACTGTCAGTTGGGTGAACTGTGGCACTGTAAAGGGGGAGCATTTCAGCGGAGAAGAGGCTTGGTGCAGAAAGACTATATGGTATGAGGTAACTCAGCGAGGTTCACTAGGACTTAAGGATAATGCAGCTAAGCGCTGTATCCCACTGTGCGTTTCCTAATTCTTAAAGGAATTGAAATATGAAGAGCTGAACAACAATCCCTGACAGCTGAAGGTTTTTCATGCATCAGATACAAGAAATTATTAAATAGAAGGAAATCATCTTACATGTTTCCAGCTTTCAGAGCTATTTTCACCAAGCAATAGAGACCTGAACTTTAATACAATTTTTTTTACACCCCTCCTCCCACTCAACTCTACTGGCCAGAAATATTTCTGTGACGACAGTAGACTTCACATTCCTCATTCTGTCACCTCCCCACAGCAGCCTACTTGCTTCAAGTTATTTATCTACCCCTAGTTACGCTATCCCATATTACTACCTTGAAAAAGATTTCTTTCCTCACTCCCTCCTTTTCAGAATGAGGATATTGCATACAATTAAACTTAGTTTAAAAACAAATCATGATGATCTCTCCCAGTGTCAACTGTAGATTTTATTGCATTTATCTTCAATGCGTTGTTCCTACAGAACACATTTGGCAGTGGAACATTCAGCAAATGTATGCTCCCTGTGGGTATGTTTATACTGTTGCTGTGGGTGTAATTTCTGGCTAGGACAGATGTACCTGCACCTGCTTTGATAGAGCTAACACTAAAAACTGCAGTGTTGTTGCATCTACACAGGCAGTGGCACAGGCTAGCCGCTTGAGTGTATAACCCAGGAGATAGGGTGGGACTGTACTTTGGCTACTAGTCTGTGCCACCACCCGTGCTGCCATAGCCATTTTTAGCACATTAGCTCAGCCAGAGCTAGCGTGGGTATATCTACCTGAGCCGGAAGTTACACTTCTTGCTGCAGTGTAGACATAACAATTATGTTTAATGCCACAGGTTATGTTTCAGTCATGTACCTATTCAATGGAACATCTATTTAAAACAAACAATGGGATGGACAAAACATTTGACCAGCAGAAGGTCTAACAACCATATCTCAATTTTTAATTTGGGCCAAGAAATTTTTTTCAAGAAGCCTCTTGCATATAGAGTACTGACAGAATGCCCTGTACTTAAGCCCCTTCTTTTTCAGTTTAAACTAGGGCTGTCAAGTGATTAAAAAAATTAATCGTGATTAATCGCATGATTAATCATGCTGTTAAACAATAATCGAATTATTTACATATTTTTGGATGCTTTCTACATTTTCAAATATATTGATTTCAATTACAACACAGAATACAAAGTGTACAGTGCTCACTTTTCTTTATTTTTGATTACAAATATTTGTACTGTAAAAAATAATATTTTTCAATTCACCTAATACAAATATTGTAGTGAAATCTCTTTATCATGAAAATTCAACTTACAAATGTAGAATTATGTACAAAAAATAACTGCATTCAAAAATAAAACAATGCAAAACTTTAGAGCCTACAAGTCCATTCAGTTCTACTTCTTGTTCAGCCAATCACTCAAACAAGTTTGTTTACATTTGCAGGAGATAATCCTATCCTCTTCTTGTTTACAATGTCACCTGAAAGTGAGAACAGGCATTTACATGGCATTGTTCTAGCCAGTGTTGCAAGATATTTACATGCCAGATGTGCTAAAGATTCTTATGTCCCTTCATGCGTCAACCACCATTCCAGAGGACATGCGTCCATGCTGACGATGGATTCCGCTCGATAACGATCCAAAGCAGTGCAGATCGATGCATGTTCATTTTCATCATCTGAGTCAGATGCCACCAACTGAAGGTTGATTTTCTTTTTTGGTGGTTCAGGTACTGTAGTTTCTGCATTGGAGTGTTGCTCTTTTAAGACTTCTGAAAGCATGCTCCACACCTCGTCCCTCTCAGATTTTGGAAGGCACTTCAGATTCTTAAACCTTGGGTTGAGTGCTGTAGCTATCTTTAAAAATCTGATATCGGAACCTGCTCTATGTTTTGTCAAATCTGCAGCGAAAGTGTTCTTAAATCAAACAACATATGCTGGGTCGTCGTCAGAGACTACCATAACACAAAATAGATGTCAGAATGCGGGTAAAACCGTGGAGCAGGAGACATACAATTCTCCTCCAAGGAGTTCAGTCACAAATTTAATTAATGCATTTTTTTTTAAACAAGCATCATCAGCATGGAAACACATCCTCTGGAATGGTGGTCCAAGCATGAAGAGGCATATGAATGTTTAGCATATCTGGCATGTATATACCTCGCAATGCCGGCTACAAAAGTGCCATGAAAACGCCTTTTTTCACTTTCAGGGGAGATTGTAAATAAGAAGCAGGGCAGCATTATCTCCCGTAAATGTAAACAAACTTGTTTCTCTTAGCGATTGGCTGAAAGTAGTAGTCTGAGTGGACTTGTAGGCTCTAAAGGTTGCATTGTTTTGTTATGGAATGCAGTTATGTAACAAACAAACAAAATCTACATTTGTAAGTTGCATGTTCACGATAAAGAGATTGCACTATAGTACTTGTATGAGGTGAATTGAAATATACTATTCCTTTTGTTTGTCATTTTTACAGTGCAAATATTTGTAATCAAAAGTAATATAAAGTGAGCACTGTACACTTCGTATTCTGTGTTATAACTGAAATCAATACATTTGAAAATGTAGAAAAACATCCAAAAATATTTACTAAATTTCAATTGGTATTCTATTGTTTAACAGTGCAATTAAAACAGTGATTAAATCGCATTTAATTTTTTTTAATCGTGATTAATTTTTTTTAAGTTTTAAATAAGTAGGAGAAAAGGATGAAGTTGAGTGTATGCGTTGCAAATGGTGTGGCCCAATTATTAAAATGTAAATATTTATAGGCTAATAGTTCTAAGTCTACAACAGTAAACTGTTTATTCAAATAAAGTTTTATCTGGGGATTAGAGATATATTGTATTCTTAAACTCAGAGGTGGCATTGTGTTTTGAGTTCTGTTTTAGTTCTGCAGCAAACCACATTGATATACGGAATTCAAAGCATTAATCGACTGAATACTTTTTTCTCCTGTCTTTCCGTCCACCAAAATAAACCCGATATTTACCCAGAAAAATTATTAATACTTTTTTGCACTGATTTTCACCTGTTTTTGTTGTTGTGGTAATAAACACTGATAAATTCCCAGGAAAAATTAAATAAAATAAAAACTGAAAATGAAAGGCCCTATTGTACTATAAAATCTGAAGAAAAAGGGCATTGTCCCTGCCCCCAGGAGCTTATAAATACAACACTTTTCAAAATGCCATTATACTACCTTATTTTCTAACCTTTATTATTATTTGTATTACCATAGTGCCTAGGAGCACTAATCATGGACTAGGAGCCCACTATGGTAGGTGCAGAACAAACACAGGACAAACTAATGGTCCCTGTCCCAACGAATTTATAATCTCAGTAATTTCCTAGTATAAGCAACAGAAACACAAAAAGTATTTACTATAAACCTAGGAGCATTCCATTCCACAAACCTGCTCTTTTTCCAGCATATCAGCTTTTCTCAATATCTTCATTGCATAAATATGACCCGTATCTTTCTTCTGGACGAGGCGTACCTAAAATTAAATAGAAAACCATCATTCTAATATACCTCACAAAATTGTTAACTGTAATATCTTGGAGGATTGAAAATTGTTGGCACTTAAAAGATGCATTTGATTTTAAAATCAGGAAGACGGAAGAAAGAAAAACATGACATCTAGACTGATTCTTGCCTGCATATTTATACCTGCCTCTGGAAATTTCCACCACATGCGTCTGACGAAGTGGGTATTCACCCACGAAAGCTTTTGCTCCAATACTTCTATTAGTCTATAAGGTGCCACAGGACTCTTTGTCGCTTTTTCCAGATCCAGACTAACGCGGCTACCCCTCTGATACTAAACATGACATAATCCATATTATACATTTTTACACCAAATCAGAAGTTGTCTTTTTAACTTTAGTGATCAATAGATTTTAGATCTCTCTTTGGGATGATCAGTATTTTGACAAATTCAGTCAAATCAAATATCACGTTCTTTAGATCAAGAATGCTAATTTGTACAGTAAAACCTTAAGGGCTTGTCTACACTTGCAAATTTTCTGAAATAGCTATTCTAGAATAACTCCCTATGTGGACACTCTTATTCCAGAATAAATATAACTTTTTCTGATTTAGCTTAACCCACTTCCAAGCAAAGAGGACACATACTTCCCCAAACGCTCCTCTTCCTATAACTTTCAGCGATTCAAAGTCATCTAAGCCAAGCCTAGTCCTCTTCAGTCGCAGGAATTCTGTTTCTTTGCGTGCATGCTGTGACCGACGTAGTTTTTTCTAAGGAAACATATCACGTGATAATTACAAAGTTTATTATAAGTTAAGTAACATACATAACTGAAAATATTTTGAATATATAAAACTATATTTTAGAAAAAGAAAGTTTTAGACCATAGGAAATGTAATTCTCCATCAGATCTCTGGTCTATCTAGTCCAATATTCTGTTTCTCACGACTTGCATCAGATGCTTCAGAGAAAGGTGCAAGAAACCCCACAAAAAGGAGGTGTGAATATTCTGTCCCACCTAGGAAGAACTCATCCTAGTAATTAGAGATTGGCTTCCACAAAAAAAAAATTGCTTCAGTTCTCCATGTTTAGGATAATAACATTGGTATTTTATGAACAAGTATAGAGATGGTGGGGAATTTTTCAATGAAATTTTTTTTGGTCAGAAAGTACTGATTCATCAAAACCAATACTTTTTGCAGGAAAAAGTCTGTTAAAATGGTTTTGGTTTTGTTTTTTACTTGAAAATTTTTAGTTTCATCATCTTAAAAATGGAAAATCCTGGTTTTCCTGTTCAAAATGATTTTTTTCTGATTTGCAATACAAACTAGTTATACTAAAAAAAATTAAATAGTTGAAATTGAAACAAAACGTTTTGAAATAAATGAAACATATTTCAATTGACCCAAAACAAATTTTTTTTTTTTGATTTTCAGTTTACAAAAATATTTGAGATTTCAACTTTTCATCCGGATTCAGGACAGAAAATGTTTTCAAAATCTTCCACAGGACAGGAAAACAGATTCTTGCCCAGCTCTTACTGCACCTGTACTCCAGTCCCAGTTGTGTGTTTTTTGTGCTACTTGCGTAAAGAGAGACAGTTAAAAAAAAAAATTTACACAGATAAGTCTGAGGGGAAGTTTAGTTACTGGTTTCCACTATACATGAGAGAGAGGAAAGAGACTTTGCTTAAAGTACATACCACTGTGCAATGACCTAAATAAACCCAATTACAACTCTTGAGGTTGGGTGTGAGTAGGAGGACAGATACCAACTGATGGCATTTCAAAGTATTTTTTCCAGTGAGTCTTCAAAACTTGACCATTCACACACAAGAGGTTGGAATCCGCTACAGATGCCACTGGGTAAAATCCACTGGCCCAGAAGACAATTCTACTTTGGGGGCTGGACAGGTGGGAAAGGTCAAGAAAAGCAAAAGCACAGGTTCCATGACTTGGACAGGGGGAGAAAAGGCAAAAGGCAGCCATGGGTAGCCTGCTGGGCAGCAGAGTTCAATATTTACCATCTACACCAAAATCTATTTGTATTAGGCAGGCAACAGGATGGTCATTGCAAGTCCCAATATATTTTAATATATGAAAGTGTCAAAGGGCTTCATTCTGAGAAATGCTGAGCACCTCACCTTCCAGTGATGTTAACAGGAGTTTTAAAGACGCTGAGCCCCATCAGGGTCAGGCAATGAAGTCATACATTTTTATACTATATTTTTATTATCATTTAAAGCCACAAGATGGCATTATATGCTCACTTGCTCTCTACTCTCTCTAAAGAGAGATGTTATGTTAAATGCACCGTTACAAGAACTGTTTGAGATAGATTTTATTGTATTCTTATTGCATCACGTAAAGTGCAATACAAGAAACAATGATGCGAATGACCACAGCATGGCAATTTAATGGAGGAAATGTTGAAAGATCCAGTGGGTGTGATTTTTTTCTCACTTACATTGCTGTGAAGCAGGGTTAACTCCTTTACTGCTATAAAGCTGGTGCAAGGGAAGGAAAAGCTAGGCCTAGTGTTTTAAAAAACAAAGGTTTGGTTCAGTTAAAATATAAAGCCACTGTGGCAAATTCAGCCCTCGGGTGAGTACGTGCAACTCCCATTGACTTCAGTGGAACTAGGCACATGCTTGATGTTGGGTACATAGTTAAACACCTTGCTGAATCAGGGCCCATAACCTAGATCCTCTCTTCTGTGTATTTTGTCTTCTGCCTGTATCATCCAAGTGTTTCTGGCCCTTTTTTCTTTCCTTCCCAACTCCTAACTGAATTTCAAACAGATTTGTACTCCAAAAAACAAGTGTTATGTTACATTCTTCTTGGGTGCCTCTATCATATTGGATCATAAATACTGAACAGGGGTGTGAGCAACTTTTTTTTATTAAAAAAATGTAAAGCTTATTAATGGCTAAACACTAAAATATGCTGTTTGTTTAAGCAAAACTTATATAATAAAAAAAATCTCCATATCATGTTAGATAATAAGACTGTTAACAGTCAACCATATACTCATCGAATACCAGCTTTGAACAGTATCCATGAAAGATAAGGCCTTCAAATGTATTTCAATTGATATTACCTCTTCATCTGCCAGACCTTCTTCTTCCATGGCCACTTCTAGCTTTTTCTGCCTGCACAGGTAGACATACAAGTACACATTAAAAAAAAAAAAAAATAATAATAATACATCAGACAGTACAAAAATTCCTTTACTTCACAGATCTCCCCTCTTTATCCTTGATACAAACTGGAGAATGGAAGTGTAATATCAAAAATTTGCAATTTTAGAGTGCTCAACGAACCCATTTCTTGGAAAAGATATCCTGTATAAAAACAAGGGATTTGCACTATTGTTTTAAAGCGAACACCATGTACCTATGTCTGTCAGCTCTCTAGTCACAGAGCTCCCATTGACTACAGTGGAAGTTCCACACAAAGGCATACATGACGATTTGCCCCAGTCAGCGTATGTTAGTTATTATATTTTGACAGCACCAGATGTATACATAGCATTTCACATAAAAGATGACAAAGTCTTTGCCCCAAAGAGCCATCTAAGGCCCCAATCCTGCAAACACTTACGAACATACTCACTTGTGCCTTTATTCACATGTGACCAGACCTGTTGATGTCAATGGGTCACATGGGTAAGTTTATATATGTGCGTAGTGTTTGCAGGATTGGTATCTAAAGGTCCAAATCCTAGATACATGGGAATAAAGGGATGAGGGTGAAAGTATGAGCCTTTTGAAGTGAATGGGACAATACATGTGAGTAAAGATTCTGAACAATGAGTGCTAGCATGTTAAGTTCTAGGGTTTCATTTTGAGCCCTTCTCTAGTTAAAAATCAAGACTTTTTCCCATTTTGAGAAATATAGTAGAATCTCCTACATAGGACTCCCCAGTGGACAATCTATCCTCCCAACTGGGAGTATATAACCTCAATAAAAAAATATCTGTTACCATAGAAACAAATATTTTATTATAATGAATACTATGTTTCAATAAATGAAGACTTGGTATTTTGACACTTTAATCAGTAGCTTTACATTGTGATGTAGCTGGAAACTAGGGATGGATGATATGGAGGTTAAAATGAAGTTGGTTGGGTGTATACTAGTGCTTCTGCAATTAGTACCACTAACACTAGTGCAACAGTGAGAGATTTTAACAAATGTTAGCCCAAACAAGGCCTTAGTGCTGAGATAGATATACACCCTCAAAAGAATGTACCCTCAAATGGTTAATAAATTTGGTTAGAAATCAATACAACTTTCTAAGAAAAACATTGTGCAGGGACTAAAATGACTTTAAAGCACACACTTGGTCTGTAGAAACACCACACAAGGCCAGTATAAATAAAAAGTTAAAGGTGTGAAAGAACCCAGCCACAGTACCTGGTTTCTCTCTCTTCATGCTGTAAAATTAGGTTGCTGTAGAAGTTCTCCAGTGTAAGTTTGGCCACAGTCACTCTCTCCCGGGTGTGGTTGCTCATGGGAAAGGATGTTGTAGTCCCTGCAGTCATTGCCATAGTAACATGTACTGAAACAGAGCACAAAGTTACTCAAAGAAACTTTTTATTCATTTATAAGAAAATGAGAGGCAATGTGAAATTCATGGGGAAGACACCTCCCTTATACGTAAACAAATCCAAAAACTTCATATTGTAAAGTTAGAGAGACTTAGTAGGGGAGGATATGCTACCCACTCACCAAAAAATAACAGAAACCATTCTACTGGCAAAACAAGGAGTGAATCATAGCAGAGAACCATGCTGGCTGCAGGCAACTAACCCTCATGTACTTGTCCATGCATTAATAGATTTACCACTGGCTGACTAGAGTCCTGCCCAAAACAAATATATAAAAATAAAATAAGTCAAGAGGAGAGATGCCATCCATGTACCTCTCTAAATGTAATATGTATGGATGGCACAAGAAAGCTTTAAGATTGAAGAAATGCAAAGCCTTGCCAAAAAGAAATGGTGAAAATGACAAATGAGCAGACACCTAGAAAGATAAGATAAGCTAGGCGTCAAAATTTGATTGCCAACTATCTTACTTTTAAAACCCATTTAATAGAACTGAGTATTGACACTTGGATAATACAGAATCTAGAAATCATCCCCTCAAAAAGGCAACTTCCTTAGTTTATGGAGAGATTTTTCTTACTATAAAAATAATAAAAAATGGATCATGAAACTCCCCTTGCTGCAAATGATCAGACTCTGAGGGAGTTTTCAATCACAAGGCAAATACCTTTCCAGGTCATCTCCTTCAGGCCCATTAACATGTCATATTGACAAGTTGGTAAAGAAGAACTGTTTAGGACATTCAGAAAGGTGTTTTCAGGGGAAGTTCCTCACTTGTGGAAATCACTGCAAGGGGGTGTTTAGGCCTTTTCAGGCTGTGAGAGAATCCTCCTAGACCAGCACACAGTCATTCCAGGTTTGCGTCTTAAATACGTGCAGGACAGGGGATGTGGTCACTGAGGGGTAGGACATGGTTGCTAGGAAGCAGTCTGGGGGCTGGTTAAAAAGACCAAAATCCCACCCCATTCTGCCGACTGGTTTTAGGGCTGGCGTTCCATGAGCTGGAACTCCCCACAGCGGAGGTGAGCAAAGCCAGCTCAGCTCTCTCAGGCTCTCTCAGATCCAGGGGAGCAGGGCTGTTAGGAAGTGTTCTTTTCTCCTAGCAGTCATGTTCTAGTCCTCCTGGGCTGGGTAAAAGCATGCTGGGAAATAAAGCAGTGTATAAGCTCTGCCATTCCCCAAAAGAGAGAGAGAGAGAGAGAGACCTGGGAGGAAGCATTCTGTGCTGATGGCTACTTCCTGAAAAGCTACTTTCTTGTTTGTTTGTTTGTATAATCCTTTTGCTTCAAAAAGGGATTTTGAGTCAGCCTCCTCTGACAAATACCCGAATCAATGACTGATCTTTGGATATATATTGTAATGCTCTTTTTTTTTTTTTTTTTTTTTTTTTTTT